AGTCTCTTAAATTCCATCGCATTGACTCAAATAATGACACTATTGATGAAATTATAGAATTCTGCTCCATGGGGATGACTTAGGCCATACTTCAACACAACGATCACGATGTCTGTAAAGTAAACTAGGGGCATACGTAGACCATATAAATGAATGTTGACCTCTAAGTTGATCATAGCCCTAGTACAAGAAGAATGAGTTCTTGTGACATGGCACCCCTCAATAGTTGCCCCCATGGGGAATTGCAGAACATAACAGTTGCTATAGCCACGTGTGTTGAAGAAACCAAATGGTTTCCAGCTTTGGGGAAGAAAAAGAAAAGGTCTGGGGTCTTAAAGACCTGCCTTAAAGCAAGCAGCCATCTAGGTGAGCGGTCAGCGAGGTCCACCCAGAAGAATCACACCCGCCTGTGTGATCCAAGGGTTGTAAATAATAACATTTCCAAAACGTGGAATAGGCAATGGTACCAGAACCCAATTCTAAACACTTGGTTTGCTGAACGTCATGGATGAGAATGGAAGGGTCCAAAATCCATTTTCAGGGTCCCTACGGGGAGTGAGGCTCCCATGAATCCCCACTGACCATAGCCTGGGGATGTTAATAGCCGTCATATCAGAGGAAGAGCTGTAAGTCAGGCTGGAATGTCACGCCTTGTTGTCTGGTCTCTCTTTTGTCCTATTTTGAATTTATCCCGGTTTTAAAATACTTCCTTTCAAATTGAAGTTTTCCTCCCTTTCCCTTGGTCAGTGTTGCTGGGTCCCTTTTGCTTTTCTGTCTTTGTTTGGCATATGTTTCTGTGTAGGGAAGTCAAATCCATGGCACAGAAAGGTCACCCCGAAAGAAAGGGAAGAAGCAGGAGCAGGTGGAGTGTGAGCCTTCCCCTGGAGCCAGCGCTTTGAAGGTGCATTTTTAGCCTCATAAATTGTGAGAAAGGCAACTTCTGTTTGTTACAGCTCCCTGTTGGGGTGTTTCCCTTACAGCAGCCCGAGAGAACTATGGACAGGAGTGAGGTTTGAACCGGAAAAAGGCGATTTTGGAACAATCTAACCCTAAACAACTAGATTTTTAAGTGGGGTATACACACAGAAGTGTGATTTTCGTTCTTGTCTTTTCCAACGACCTGTATCACTGTAGCTATAAAAATAAAGGCGGGGGGAGTGGGTCTCTTATAGATACTACTAGACAGATGGGTCATGGGTTATGTATAAGCGCTACCAAACACTCTCATTTAACTTAAATGTTTCAGTAATTTACATCGGATATTATGATTGACAACTTAGAGTTGAAATCCCTTTGTTGTTGTTTTCTGGTTGGTCCTTTTTCCTCTTTCCCTTTCCCAACCTTTCTGTGGATAATGGAAATATTTTTATACATTTCTGTTTCCCTCAATGACAGTGTTTTTAAGTGTCTCTTTGACCTTCCTTATTTTTGGCCTTCCGTATTATAGTGCAAATATGTAACGTAAAGTAATCTACTGGAGCAGACCCTCTACCACTTACAGTGCAGTGTAAGATCATTGCCTTGTAATCTGGACCCTGCCCGGTAGCATACAATCCATGTAAATAGTTCCTCTGCCGTCATTAAGAAGCACACCAGGCAGGTTCAAACCACAACCTTTCCAGTAGCAGTCATGCAATTAACCATTAAAGAAAGAAATTGAGAGTGGGACCTTGCCTGTACAGGGTAGACTGCCCCTCACCGTGCCACTAGAGGGCAGGGCAGAGCTTTCCCTTTGGGTTCAGAGGCTTTTCAAATCCTTGAGGGAACAGACAGCCTCAGCTTGCTCCCTGGGGAGCCTGGTGGCTTCGAACCACTGACTCTGTGGTTAGCAGCTCAATGGTTAGCCCACTCCTCCATCAGGGCTCCGGAGGCTTTTCGCGTTAGGCACCTGAAAACCCTTGCAGCTTCCACTCCTTAAAGCCATTTCCGCTCAGTGGTAGCACATTCCATCTTCGTTCTCCAGTGCTGCTGTAATGGAACCACCACAGATGGGCGGTTAAAAAAAGAAAGAAAGAAAAGGAAAGGAAAAAGAAACAACGTTTCCTCCGCACAGTTAAAACACAAACAAACATGAAACCCACCGCCACCGACTTGATTCGGACTCACAGCGACCCTCTACAGTGTTTCCAGGGCGTGGATCTTCATGGGAGCAGCCAGCCTCATCTTCTTTTCCTCAAGGGGTGAGCGCTTGTGAATGGAACCACCGACCTGCATGCCGCCCCAGCGCCCCACCCGCAGCGCCACCAGGGCTCTTGCTCACAGTGGAGAAGGACTGGTGGGTGGGAACCGCTGATCTTGTGATTAGCAGCTCAAGGCATAGCCCAGGACACCACCGGGGCTCCTCCACTTCGCCGTTAAGAAAAGCCCATGGCCATCAAAACGAGGACAAGATGGAGACATGCTAAAATTGACCGTGGTGATGACTGTGCAACCCGTTTTAGATACGACTGAGGGGTGGCATTGTGTGCTACGCTCGTTATATCCCAGTCAACGTGTGTTCGTTTGTTTTGTTGTCTAAACAAAGAACAGAAAGGTACGGAGTGACAGGCTGCTGGAACTGGCCGAGGCCCTCTGTCTCTCGCAGTTCATGCTTGTGGCTCTGGTGCCTCCCTCCTGAGGAGCCACCCTTGGGAAATGAGGTCCCAGTTGCTGAGATCGTGGAACCCTGGGTGGTGCAAACAGGTGCTCACAACCAAAGGTTTGGCAGTTTGAATGTACCCCAGGACCTCTACGGAGCCCAGTTTTCCTCTGAGATCCTTGAGTCGGGGTCACGACTGGACTTGCACGAGCGAGCGAGATCATGTGTCACGGTCAGGGAAGTGAGAAGATCACTCCGTACGGGACAGTGGGAGAGGCAGCGGCCGAACTCACTGCTGTGAACGTGCAGAGGCACGCAAAGGCCACCGAGGAGCTGGCTCCTCTCCTCCCGTGGGGTGAGGGCTGCAATGCCTGGGGGCTAGTGGCACTAACAGTCTGGGCTGCAGCCTCCTGGAGGGCACGGGTGACTGCACCAGATGCCCGTGGGAAGGCTGAGCTCCCATTTCCACCTCCGCCCCCTCCCTGCACCTGCTCCGGCCAAGCAGAGCACGGTTGGAAGCTAGGCCGTCCCACTGGTGCCCGTTGTCATCACTCCCCAGACTGCCTACCCTGTTCCCAGGTACCTAAATTTCCCTATGCAGCTAGAGTGTTCTTTGCCACCCGTTGAGCTGGCAAACCCCACCCTGACCCCTGTCCCCAGTACCAGGAGCCCGGCAGGAAGTCCAGACAGTGACCTCTGCCCTCAGATCCTCTGGGATCTTCTCTGAGGCTTGCTGGTTTCCAGCCTTGGCAGCCTGGGATGGACGCCACAGGGAGGCTTTGTGGCCAGCTCTGGGAGGCCCAGGGACACCACAGCCCAGCCTGTGGCATGTGGGCCACCACCCCAGTCTGCTGCTCTGTTACCCTTCCCTTCCTCCGATTCTTACCCAAGTGTTTCTGAGGAGGCTCGGGGCGTGCCCTAGGAGGGAGGTCTGTGGCACAACCAGCCCCTGCACGGCCCTCGCCCCCAGAGACGACCCCACTGGCCAGCAGGGAGCCTCCAACAGGGTGCACACGTAGCAGCAACACTGACTGAGATTTATTGAAAAGAAACATAAACTGCCCAAGGGAAGGGATCACAACTGAGGGGGCAAGTCACCCCACCAGCAGCCCCCAGTGCCTCATTCCCCCTGGGGTCCCCAAGGGGACTCTGGAACGGGCAGGGAACAACACTGGAAAACACGGCTGAGCACAGGGCACCACGTGAAGGAATCAGAGTCACAAACAACAGCTTGGGTGGATCTTGAAGCACGGGTCTCCTCGCACGTGCCAGGCCTGGGGGGTCCATCCTTCCTCCTTCCCGGCGTTGGCTCTCAGGGTGAGGGCAGCCACATCCTGGTCTGTGTGTGCTGCCCACTGTCCTCTGGGCCTGGGCCTGGCTCTGGCGGAGGGAGTAGCTGCTCGGGTGGGCAGCAGGTGGGAGGGGAGAGGGAAAGGAGGTCAGCACTCACAGGCATGCATGCATGCAGGCACACACATACACACACTTGCACGACAGCAAGCAACAGCTGGCTGGTCTCTATGCCAGAAAAGCAGGGGCGAAGCTCCAAGGAGGCCGTGGAGCAGGGCGAGGGCATGGCTCTCCAGGTGCCCCATGGTCTGGCACCTCGTGGCAGGTGTGAGACTGGGGCTGTGTGGTGGCCCTGTGGCTGCGACGACCTCGGGATGGGGTTGGGGGCTTGGGGTGGGGCCCGCAGAGGCCTGGCGGGCCCTTCCCGCGGCCAGGATGCAGCCTACTGGTCCGAAGAGGAGCACTCGGAGGACTCGGGCAGGCTCGCATCTCCCGCCTCGCCCTCGTTCTCTGGCTCCTCCAGGATGGGCTGAAGCCGCTCTCCGGGGACCTCGGCCACTGCCGCTTCAGCCTCCATGGCCTCCGGGTCTCCAGCCTGGACAAGGCCCTCATGCCCACAGGCTAGGCCTGCCCCGGGTTCGCTGCCCACCTGCGCTGGGGTGCTGCCCACGCTGGCCCCAAGGACCTCTGCAGAGCCTGTGTGCCCGATACTTGCAGGGGCAGGGGCAGATGTAGGGGGAGGGTCGCCTCCCTCTACCAGTGCCCTGTCACCCTCAACTGGGGGGTTGCCTCTGCCTTCTGCTGCTGGTGTTCCAGCACTGGGTCCGGCCCCTTCCTCCGGTGGGGCCCGGTCATTCCTAAACAGAGTGGCCTCCCACGACTCGGACTCCCGCACCAGCCCCAGCATCTCCAAGAAACTGGGCGCCCTCCCGACCAGTCTCAGCTTGCGTAGCGCCTCGTCCAGGGGCTCGATGAGGGTGGCCTTGGTGAGCACCTGCCTCAGGCGCAGGTGGTCGGCCGCGGCTCTGGCCAGGGCACCCTTCTCCACGGCCCTCTGCAGCACGACCTCCAGCCGCAGCACGAAGGCGGACAGGCGCTCGCCTCGCCTCTGCTGGGCTGTCAGACACCTCAGCCGTGTGGCCGCTTCCGAGTCCGTGTCCCCGAAGACCTGGACAAGGGCATCCAGGCACTCCTGCGCTGAGCGTGCGGGGTTCTCTGCCAAGAGCCCGTGTACCAACTGCAGGGCTGTGCCGCGCAGGCCCTCTAGCAGCCGCCGCCGCCGCTCCCGCTCTGAGACCGACTGCCACACCTGCAGCATGTCGCCTGCGTGGTCCAGCCAGGCCTCGAAGGGCTCTTCCCCAGGGCCAGGCTCTTCGCCCCGCCCTGAGAAGACGCCCAGCGGCTGGTAGCGCACGGTCTCCACCCAGGGCTGGGCCGCCTGGCTGACAGAGCGCAGCCAGCACACGCGCTGCAGCCCCAGACCCAGGGCGCCGGCCACGCTCTCCGCCGTCTGGCCCTGCTGCTCCAGGAAGTGGAACACGCGACCCAGGACCTCCTCGCCTGAGCAGCGCGGCACGCACACCACGCGCCAGGGCCCCCCGCTGCCCGGGACCTCGCGGGGCACCAGCGCGTAGTCCACCTCTTGCGCCAGCTCCACCAGGGCCACGGCGGCGTTCTCCTCCTCGCGGAACACCCGGCCAAGCACAGAGAAGCGGCCCAGCGGCCAGAGGGCCGCCTCCAGGGCCTCGTGCACTTCGGCCTCCTCGCAGTCCTCCGGGATGCCCAGCACCAGCAGGCCCCTGCGCGCGCTCACCCCCATCCACCGGCACCAGTCGCGCAGCATAGCCACCGCCATGGCGCCCGGCGCGGCGCGGCTCAACTCCTGGCGCAAGGCAGTCCTGGGGACGCGAGCGGGAGTGAGCAGGTCAGAGCCGCCGCCGGGACCCTCCCCGACCACCGGGTCCCCGCTGCCGCCTACTCTCCCGGGGGCGGAGGGCGCGCACAAGTCTCCCCCTCGCTACCTCCTCCTCCTGCCGCCGCCTTGGCTAGTGAGCCGCGCGGTGGGCTGCGTCTGCTGGGCTCCCCGCGCCTAGGTGGCTCTGCCTGCCCAGTGCAGCTCTCAGATGCTGCCCTCCCGCAGCCCAGCACGTGGGCCGTGCGCCTGCTCGCCGCGGTCTCTGCAGTGCGGACCCGGGGCTGGCGGGGGCTCAGTGGCGGAGGCTGAGGAGCAGCGACCCCTTTGTCGCCTGGGAGACCGCTGGGCCATTGGCGCGCGAGGGTCACGCGGCTGGGCGGTTGCAGCCTCTGGCACAGGCGGGGCGCCCCAGGCAGCGTGTGACGTCACCGCCCCCCGCCCCACGTCTAGCCTGGCTTCACACCCCTGCCCAGGAAGCTTCTGGGGCGCGGGCGTGGCCAGAGCCAGCACTCAGGCATGGGTGGGGGGTGGGGGAGTCGGACCTCAACGGTGGCAGAGCTGGGGGCGCTCTCAGGTCCCTTCCCCTTGCTTTCCCTTCCCTTCCCTTCCCTTCCCTTCCCTTCCCAGTGATCACCCCCACCCAGTTGCTGTGCTCCTGTCCCTGTGCCTGGTACCACGCACCTGGTCTAGGTCAGATACATTGGAAGCCAGGAGCCTTGGCGAGGTCATGCGTGTGTTTGCACAGACTCACGAAAAGACACGAACACGCGTGCACGCACAGGCACAGGCACACTGCAAAACCCCAAGATGCGGAATAGACCAAAGGCCCGGCGGTATCTGACTAGCAGCAGCGTAGCGCAAGCCTTTGCTGGCCCCTGCCCACGTAATAACTTCTCCCCCCTCCCCTTCTGCCCGTCCCCGACAGGCTGCGTACGACCCAAGACAGGCCTCCGGGGCCCCCGGGGCCCTGTGTCCGTCTGCCCCTTCCAGCAGCAGGATAGACACCGTGGGGGGGGGGGGCCTGCCTCAGCCCCAGCTGGCTGGAGCCCGCCGCCCAGGCTTGGCATGGTGTCTCAGGAATCAGCCTGCCTCTGAGACAGCAGCAGGGTTTCAGAGGGAGGAGGCACCGGGCCCGCACACGGGCGCACAGACGGACCTGTTCCCGTTGGATGGCCTTCCTCAGGGGGCTGGGGTTCCTAGGCCTTGGCAGGGCTTCACTGCATCGCCACTGCATTTTCTGCCGCAGCAACCCTGGCTGTCAAGAGAACCCCGGGCTTCCGTGGAACCGGACCATGTACCTGGGCGCAGGAGGTGCGAAAGAAGTTCCCCTCGTGCCCACGCCAGGACCCCGGCACCCGGAGGCTTCAGGACTAGGAGTCAACAAGTTGCCCTTCTGGAAACCCACGCGGCCATGGAGCGCCTGTTGCTGGGGCACTCCTGGTGTCCGATGGGCTGTATCCAGGCTCTGTGAGGGAAGGCTCACCTCAGAACGCCCACAGGTGGAGGACACAGAATGGGAAGAAGGGAACCCTACATCTCCCTCCATGCCAGCAGACAACGCCATGGAGAAACCCCACCTCCTTGCAATAAAACACACTCAACAAACTAGGGAGGCAAGGTGAGGTCCTCCGTATGAGAAGGGCCCTGGATGAAAACCCCCGCTGACCGTGCTAAAAGGTGAAAGGCTGAAGGCCTGCATCGCCCTCCCTGTTCCCACTACATACCCCCTACCCACTCCTCCCTCCCCACCTTCCACACCAGGAGTAGGAGGAGGAACCCAGCCCTGCAGCTCAATCTTGTACTTCAAGGTCTGACTGGAGCAAAGAGGGGAGGGGGCGGGGAAGGCAGGCAGGCAGGAAGGAAGGAAAGAAGGAAGGCAGGCAGGCAGGCAAGAGGAGACATGGAAATCTTGGGGGAAACTAAAAACAAACCAAACTCACGGCCCCTTTTCCGATTCTGACCCCACCCCACTCCACCCAATACCCCCCCCACCCCCCCGCACCTCCAAAGACAGGGCAGGGACTGCCCCTTGTATCTCCCACACTGTTTCTATGTACACGAGTAGAAAGCCGCATCTTTCTCCTGCGCAGCAGCCTGAGGTTTCCAACTGGGACCTTGCAGCTAGTTGTCCTGCATGTAAACCTCCAGGGCTCCTAATGTGGGAAAGGGAGGTGTAAAAGTGTCTCTCTTCCCAAGCTCAGAAAACCCCATCAAGTCCACAAGAAAGCTGCCAAAGATCAAAAAACGGCACACAGAATCCCATGGTGTTCTTAGATTCTAGGCAGGATAGGCTTGGGACCCCACCCTCTCTTGGCTGTTGGGGGAGTGCGAAGGGTCACAGCTCCCCACAGAGCACAGTCAGCCTGTCCCTCTGCTCTCCTGGCAACAGGACAGCCCTGCTTGTTGGGACTGAACAAGAACTCCTCCTGTGCAGGTGGGAGTGCAGTGGGTGGTGCTCCTGGTCTCTGATTTCTCAGTGAGTCCCCCACCCTCATGCCCCATGGCACCCTTCAATTCTGCTCCCTGTTTTCCGGGTCTCCTTGCCCTCCCTTAAGCGCCCAGGTCTTCCTAGGGCAGCAGCCTCGTCTCCCTCCTCGAGACCTGCCCCCCTCCCCCTCCAGGTGGCTGCTGTGGTCACTGCCAGCAGGCTGCCCTGCGGGGACCAGGTCCCCCTCCCCCACCTCCTCACAGACACAGGTGGCCCCTGTCTGAGATAGAGCAGCCCTTCTGAGCCACTCTGGCTGGCCTGGCTGGGCCGGATGTCATGAGGGGACATTCCAGCAAACCAACGTGACAATAAGCAAGCCAGAAAACACAAATGGGCGGCTGTCCAGTGGTTCTAACTCCTGGGGACCTTGCATGTCACAGAGAAGAACTGTGCTAGAGGGTGGTCGGGGCTGTCATCATTAAGGGAGCAGGTCCCCAGGCCTTCCTCCTGCAGCACTGTCCTTGGGGGCAAGGCTTGGTCAATTTCATTAACTTTGGAAAGGAGGCTCCTTCCTGCCAGTGGACAAGAACACGCCCTCCCTGCCCTTGGCAGCCCGGAGGGAGATTGCTCCTTCTGAGCCCAGGCCCCTCCCGACAATGCCAGGAGGGGTAAAAACTCCAAAAAGCCCCTGTCCCTCCCGCAGGGTCGCTCTGAGCCCGCTTCAACCCCATGGCAGGAAAACCTCCACAAAACCAAACTCACTGGGACTGCTCAGTTCTGACTCAGGGCGATGCGGACCATCAGACAGGGTGGCAGGAACCGCCCCTCAGGGCTGCCCAG